CCCATGATGCCCATGGCACCACCACCCATGATGCCCATGGCACCACCACCCATGATGCCAATGTCACCACCGCCACCCATGATGCCCATGGCACCGCCACCCATGATGTCAATGACGCCACCACCCATGATGATGCCTCCTTCCATGGCACCGCCACCTATGATGATGACACCACCACCCATGATGATGACATCACCTCCCATGATGATGCCCATGGCGCCAGCACCAATGATGATGGGGCCTGGACCTTCTATGATGACTCCCACCGGCGGAAGTAGCATCCTACTGCAGGGAAGTAGCATGGCCTTGGTGGTGCTGTTTGGAATAGTGTTACTCGCTGCTTAATTGTATAGCTAGTACTCTATAGCTAGCTACTCGTGCGTGTACCATTTATTTTTATAATTATTTTTGTTTTTGCATTAATTAATTTGTGATTTGGAGAGATTAATGTTTTATAACTATATTATTTGTGAAATAAAGAAAGGTTGGAGATTGTTGTAGATATTTGTCAATTAATTAATTAATATTCATGTGGAAATATATATAAATATATATAGAGTGGTGAGAGACAGGTGGTTGGTTAATTGGTGATGGTAACGGTTGTGGACGCAGAGCATCAAGACCAAGATAGCGATGCCCACATGTCATGTTCTCCTAATTACCTATTTTCTATTTTTTTTTTCTATTTTCTTATTTTTTTTCCATTAAATTGGTTTTTATATAAATATGTGAAGCTTGGATATTACATACTCATTTTTAAAACACTAATTTCAATATTATTTTCATCTACATTTAATATTTCTAAAATATAATAGACGGTAATTGATTATGGTAGTAAAAATGACTTTATTATATTGGTCAAAATGTGAGAGAATAGATATTTATGGGGTTGTTTGGGATTGTTTATTTAAAACAACTTATGTTTTTTTATAAAAATATTTATCAACTGATGTGGTATCAAATCGGAATTTTATAAAAAATGTTTGGATTAACTTATAATTGTACCAAAAAACAATAAGTTGATAAGTTATTTTTTAGTGTTTGGCAAATTTTGCTTATATATGTAAAATGACCAAAAATGACAATCCTCCGTATTATTGACTTAAGAGAGTGTTTGGGATTGGTTATTAACTTATTTGATTTTTTAACATGTAAAAAATTATTTTTCTATCATTTATAATAATATCTTTGACAAAAATTTATATCAATAAGATTARTAATTAACAAACATTAATAAAATATGGTTAAAATGGTAAACTGGTAATAAGCAGTTTTTCATAAGTCAGGAACGATTAACTTATCAAAAACGACTTATTACCGGTTTGACACCGGAATAAACAGTTTTATTTTTCCCCATCCAAACACTATTTAACTTATCACCTGTGCCAGATTGAAATAAGTCAAAAAAAACATCTAAAATAAGCAATCCCAAACACCCCTTATGTTTCCAAGCCATATCATTTGCCCCCGTGCTTCTAGCAACAATAACCATATCCATCGTTAGTGAGGGGGCGACCATGGAAACACCCCAACCCCACCATGAAGATCTGAGATATGTCTTTCATCTCAGGTTCGACTCTTGGCCATGCCCTTAATCAGGTTCGATTTTGTAATAGCCCAAGATTACATTTGCATATAAACATATATTTCATATATCAAGAAATACAAATTTACACATGCGATCGCAAATATACAAAAGATACATTATAAAAGTAGCTATCAAATTTTCCCCCAAAATCCCTATCAAGAATTGTATACATAGCAAATATTCAAATACAAAAAAAAAAATTATGAATCCCAAGATCCCATGCAAGCATAATATTAACACTTCACAATTTTTTCATTCTCCTTATCCCTTGGTTGTGTCCGACATATAATGCACATTTTTGAAATACAAAATAAAAGTTAGACATTGAGGTCTATAGAGAAATCCATTTGATGCAATTACAGGGTGAATAATCACCAAATCATATATATAAACTCATATTTGTAAAATAACAAATATACATCATTTTGCTACATCAAACTTCATTTAATAAATACATTTTGAGTCGACTTGTCGCATCATATAACTTCTGGCATGACATGGAGACAATCTCAATTTCTCGCAACAAACTAGTGCGAGAACCACAACTCATCGCATCACACATGTGCGATAACTCCATTTTGTCACATCACAAGGATGCAATAAACTTGCTCTTCGCATCATATAGATGCAATAAACAAACTTTATCGCATCATACAGATGCAATAACTCTAAGTTATCGCATCATAAGGATGTGATAATTTTGAAGACTTGATCAAAACCCATATTCTATAACTTCATGATTATGTCACCCTTATCCTAGTATACAGTTCTCCTTAATATGTCACTCTTATCTCACGTCTCTTCTTGATATGTCATCCTTATAACCCAAAATACATCTCTCCTTAATATGTCACACTTATTTCCACACATGATATAAACATATCAAAAACCCATAAATTGTGCTAATTATAACATCAAAACAATTTTATTCACAACAACTCAAATAGAACCATACGGTTTATCACAGAGATGAAGATATGGAGATTGAAACAACAAGAAGTGTTTAGATATAAATCACAGAATCAGTTTCTTCTTCTCCTTATAGCTCTATTTGCTTCACACCAAAGAGACACATACACACTGAAAAGTTTTTCACCAACCTTTTTCTTTTTTACTTACTTCTCCAAAGTCAAAGGGATAAAACAATTATCTCAAATGTCCATCAATAAACAATATAAGATGTTGGGTTTTAAAACGAATTTAGCCACATTAACAACATTAAACACCTTAACTTACCATCACTTTTCGAAAACAACTCTAAGTATTATAACAAAATAACCCGGTTATCACATTATCCACCCCTCAAAATAATTTTGTCCCATAATTTAATTAATCAAACAACCACGGATATTCTGATATCATTTCTGACTCCAATTCTCAAGTAGTTGTTGGACCTTTATGAAAATGCCACAGAACTTTCACGAGACTGATTTCTTTATTACTTAAAACTCTTGTTTTCTGGTTAGTGACGGTCTCAGGAGTTTCCACAAAATTCAACTTACTATCAACTTGCACCTTAGGTAACGGTATTGCCAAATTCGGATCGGTCAACCACTTTTGCAAATTAGAGACATGGAAAGTATTATGAATTGAATTGAGTTCCTCTGGTAATTTTAATTGATATGTTACTGAACCACCCCGTTTACAAATTCTGAACGATCCAACATACATCGGACTGAGTTTACCTCTTTTCCCAAATCGAACAACACTCTTCCACGGAAAGACTTTTAACAGCACAAAATCTTCTAACATAAATTTAATGGGTTTTGGCATGCCGGAAAGTGGCGCCAGTGATTATTTTACCAGCGGATTCTTGGTTTTCCGGCGGATTACTACCACCAAAAATATGCCACATTATTTTTAGAATTTATTTAAGAAATCTTAATTAAATTAAAAAATATATTAATCGGATTAAAATTTCCGACGGGATATTTCGCCGGTAACCTTGAAATATATTTTTAAAATTATTTGTTTTAAAAAATCTTTTTTTTCGAATTAGATTACTGATGAAAATATCCGTCAAAAATTAAATTTTAATTTTAACATTTTCCTACTACTTCATAATCCTTGCCTCCTTGTGGGACGGAAGCTCCTTCGTCACATTTCTTTCCGGCATCGTCCTTCCTCTCATGATCGGGTACATCATCATCATCGCCATCCTCGCTTACTTTCTTCTCTTTAGTGGATTCTTCATCAACCGTGATCGAATCCCATTTACTAGATCTGGTTCACCACATCTCCCTTGTCAAATACCCATACGAAGCAGTCTTACAAAACGAATTCCAAGAATCCCATCAAGTGTTTCGTCCCCTCAAGAGTTGAATTTGTTCACAGATTTGAGGTTTTTTGTTTCCCAAAAATTGTATTTGATTTTGTAAAGTGAACCAACACATAGATGAAAATTATGTTTGATTTTAAAGGGTGAAATAACATATAAATGAAAATCAGTGTTTGATTTCATAAGGTGAAATACACATATAGACGAAGTTGTGTTTAATTTTATGGGGTAAATAGATTATAGATGGAAAATGTTTAATTTCATGTAATGAAATAACATATATACGAAAATTATGTTGGATTTCATGACGTGAAATAACATATAAATAAAAACTTTGTTTATTTTCTTTGGTTTTATACACAATTTATCATATTTTATGGGGTTTTTTTATTAAATATGTGAGCCTTGACTTATTGAGTTGTTGTATGACTGTCTACAAACACCTTCTTATTGTAACTGTTGTTGAGAAGCACAACATTTTAAATGCAATATCAGTTAATTCTGTTTCAAACCAAAACATGTCATTTTTCTATCTCATCACAACTTTATGACACTCTTTAACATCCTATGGACCATATTGGCTGTGAAAATAACAAAACCAATTGAATTTTTTGAACAGTATTAATGAGTGTAAGGTTTTACTTACTTTCGTCTTCTCCTATCCCTTCTTCGACACTCGACACAATCACTACATGTATACGTATTTGTATCCGAGTACATGTCAACTTTGAACTTGTCGGGTGAAACTTTCAAGTCTTGGACTAATATTTTGCGAACCTTCTCATTCTCTTCTTTAAGCTTCTCAAGAACAACTTGTTGTTTTAGGACCTACATACCACAAGACAAGTACCCAACCATTCATTAGTTTTTCTCAAGTTGAAAGTTTTGTGACATTATTATGATTACTATTAATCTTTAAAATCAACAAAAGCAGTATAGACCATAAGCAAGTTGAATACCAATTGGATGACCTCATTCTCAGACTGCAACTGACCACCACCCTACAAGTCAATTACACAAATAACCCAAGGGTCATTACAAACACATTAAGTCAATCACACAAATAACCCAAGGGTCATTACAAACCCATTAAGCCAATGACACAAATAACCCATGGATCATTACAAACCCATTAAGCCAATTACACAAATAACCCATGG